AAAAAAAAAAAAAAAAAAAAAAAAAAAGCCTTAATAATTAAAAAGGTACTTAAAATTCAAAAGCAAATTGGGAAAAAACCCCAGTAAACTTATCAAATTGGTAGTCAGACCACATAAAGAATTAATCCAAATGATTTTATAGCACAACTATGACTATATACAACTAAAAATGTATCCTGGGGCTAGAAAGAACCACTGAAATTTCAAGTTGCATTTTGTACATTAAATAATGGTAATGTGTGTAAAAGTTTAAATGTAATCAGCCATCAGCAATTATATAACTACAACCAAGTTATCAATTCTAAGAGAAAAGAAACATAAAATCAAAGGAGTCACCATTTACAACTAGGCTTTTTTCCTGCAGTACTAGGGGGTGAACCCTAGCATCCCCAGTTCATCCTAAATTTATTTGAGACAGTCTTGCACTGACTAGGCTGGCCCTGAACACACCACTTGGTCAGGGCAAACCAAATCACTGGGATCACAGGCATACACCATGGAAGTGTTTCCACAGGCTCTATTTTATATTTTTAAGAGTGTGTGTAAGAGTGCTATGTGACAAATTGCCACCTACTCCTTCATACAAAGGGAGCTGACCCTGCAGTATCAGGAAAAGTGCTTTTTAAATATTCAAGGAGTTGTTTCAAGACTACTTCAAAGGGCTCCTCTCACATCCTGGTTGTAGAGAAATTAGTTTGTGCTTCAAAAAGAAGGATAACGGCAATGGACTGAAACAGAATGGTACTAAGCAACAAAAACCGATCAAAAGGTCAGGATCTTATTATTTATCTATGGATAGCACTAGGGTATCAACTGTATTTTATTCTAAAATAGGCATAGTGAAGGAAAATAATCACATATTTTGCTTTCCCTGTATAAAGTATGTAACATTGCAGATTAACCTAACCAACAAGTGAAAACTTATTTTGTAGAAAAACTAAAACTATGATTTAAAAAAGAATGTCAGAAATAAATTATTTCAAAATAATCCCGAACAAAATAATGGACCTAAGCAATCATCAAGAACTGTTAAAATCACTAGGTAAACAGCTAATGCAGACCTACACAGGCTGGATGCCGTCCATTCCAACTTCAGTGTCAGTGAGAACAGGACAGGCGCACACCACAGTGTGCTGTACTACTTGAGAGTACTCCTGGAAAAGCCTAAATTCATCTGCCTCTAACGCTAACTCCTAGTTTTCAAAAAATACTAGACACCGCTGAAACAAGCTAACCCTTTTGAGAATCTGACCAAAAACCAGAGTGGACAATTTTATAATGCACACTGCCCCGTGTTCCCATGAGAGCGAGAGGGAACACACAAAAGGTAGAAGAGCACCAAGATGAACAGATGCTTAGATGATGCAAGAGCCATGGATGAACAGTACGGCCAATGCTTCAATTAAAAAGACACAATGCAATTAATCTCTCTCAAAATACTCCCCCCTACCTTCCAACACACTTATCCCATTGTTCTTGCCACTTTCTGAAGCAGTTCTGGAAGTCCTCTTTCGTATCTTTACAAGGTGTGATGAAAACTATGCTGAATGCTGGAGCTGGGTGCCATCCAACACAAAGGCAGGCTGTAAAAACAGTACAGCGGATCCTCACCCACCTAATCCACCGGACTGGCTACCTCGTAACTCCTGGCTTCCCCCCCACCGAGATCACTACAGTATCACAAAACTTCCACAGCTTCTTCATAAGAGCAGCAAGAATGATGGGATAATGTGTTCGAAGTGAGAGGGATTAATGGCAACGTTTCTTTTCCTGTAATAAATATTTTTTCTTTACACCATATTTTTCAATCACATCCTATATATAATAAATGTATACATCTTGTTTGGATTTTGATTCAAACCAGCCAAATGGAAATAGATACTGATATTAAGTAAGTATCTATGGGTTGAATGGAGTCATGGATTTGCTGTAATATTTGAACACAAAGAACATAAAGTTATAAAAATGTGGAGCTTAGTATATTGTATTCAGGATATGCAACTAGTAAAAACAGTTACACACAGGACACTCAGGAAGAGACACTCATACTACTGTACTACTTAGCAGAAGCAATATTCCTTTCCCCTTTTACTTTTTCCCTGTCACAAATCTCACCTCAAATAAGGTCTCCCATTATAGTCACACAGCTAAAAATTCAGGGAAAAGCGTGGCCAGAACAAAAATCTACCTCACGCACCATTATTCTGTTCAACTGTCATGAGATTATGCTTGGCTTTTACTGAGGCCTCAAATGTGTCAACGTTTTCCCGCTCATACTCTTTGACATCGGCAGCGACTCGCTCCAGGATGTCATCTGGAGAGGGTGATCGTGTCCGAGTGCTGCTCTGCGGGCTACTGGGCTCCGACGGCACAGACATATTGCTGTCTTCAGCCAGGTACTTGTATTTCTGTAACAACAATACAATAAATCATTTTTCATAAAATATTCTGCTATCATGTAGTAATTTACTAAGAGTTGCTGCACTGAAAAGTTAGAAGAGTGTCACCATAAAAGAACAAAAGAGGTACTGATACCTTGGTTGAATCAGATCCAGAATCCCTTATGTGACTCCCAACCTCACAAAACTCTGGACAAATTTTCTGTATCTGGTGCACATCAATTAGGCGGCAAACTCTGAGCTGCCCAGATGAGATGCTGTTTATTCTTAGACCCCAGAGTGACACTTTGTCTGCCTCATTGCAGAAATGTGATTATGGGGTTGATGATGTGTTGATTATGGGGTCTACTTCAGACCCCACTGATGGCGCTAGGTGATATACATAGATGCACCATTATTACCTTTCTAACTTCAAAACTTTCTGAGTTCTGAAGCACATCTGGCCCCAAGCATTGGAGATAAGGGATTGTGGACCTGGGCAAGAACAAAAAAAGATTCAACCAAGTTTTCAGTTTAATAAACGCTTCAGCAGTTTCCCCCCAAACCTTCTCACTGGGCCCTCCTCCTATGACTCACTTTCTACTTCTTTCCCTTACTCAGCACTCCAGCACCCTGCCTGGTGTTTGCTGTGTGCACTGGGTAAGCGCCATGATGTCCCTTCCTTTACTTAGCCTCTGTCCTTCTGAGAAGGCACCGCACAGGGGACTACAGCCCACAAAGGACGAATGGCAGTACGGCTTCATCTCGGGGCAGGCAAGGCAGTGCTGACGGTCTTCCAAGGCAGCGAACTGCCAGTCAGGCAGTCTGACATCTGGGTTCCACACCCTTCCAGCCTCTCCTTTTTTTCATTACCTAGGTTCTAAACTAGTGTCAGAACTGTTATTCCGATGTTTCACTGCAATATTTGCTTTTTGCCCCACACAGTAAAACACTATTTTGGTAAAAGAAATTTTAAGTCTCAAATTCTTACAACTCACCAAGTTTTACATACAACAAAGGGTAACACCTCAGTTGTGATAATGAAACTATCAAATTTCACAAATTTTATATACATACAAGACCCATCCACCTACCACTACAATCACTTACCAGTATTTTACAAGTGATGACTTAAAAGAAAATTCAGTTTCTGCAAAAGCCACATACCTGAACAATTGCTTGCCTCTGTATTCGTCTCTGTTCTATTAGTGCTTCTTCATCCTCTTCCTCTACGTCAAAATCTTCAAGGCTTTAAAACAAAATTTCAACCTGCTTTAGATTCTAAAACCATAATTCTTACATGTTGAAAATGAAGGCTGCAAACCGTTGGTCACTGCTAAGGCACAGCAGCCCTACTCTGCACGGCTCACTTCCTAACCGTCTTGACAGTCTGCTCTGGAAGCCCCGTAAGCAGCGTAGCCCTGTCTCTCTCCATCGCCTCCCCAGCGACGCTCACGGCACAAAAGCTGGCAACAACCAAGATCTCTAATTTTAACGTCACCCCTGGTTCTCTACAACCTCAGCAATGCCTTTTTGCTTGTCTGACCTCGCTTTCTCGCCTGATGGCGAGCGCGGGTGAGCGAGCTGTTACTTTTCCTGGGCCACTGCACCTTATGAATGCTCATAACAACTACCAGCTCCTTCTGCAACAGCAACGCACACGCAAGCATCTGCATTCGCTCTGAAGGGGTGTGGTTCAAAAGTGGGCCTCCTGTGTCACGGTCACTCTCAGCTCATTTGTACTTCTAGACTGTTCACAGCACAAACTTAAGCTGCATCACTGCTGAATATGCTACCCAACTTTCTTAATCATCAAACTTTAACGAGGGCTTCTCAGCCACAGTTTTTTTTTTTTTTTTTGGTATACTTAGGTTTACTTTTTAAGAAGGGTGTTAATTTGTGCAATGTAGGAAACAATTATCTTCTGCCACTAGAAGACAACCAATGTGCTACCAAAATGTCCTCAGAGAGGCAAGTTTTCCTCATGTTGACAACTATCACATTATTTTTGCCATATTCCATTTAGACAACCAAGTTTGTAATTTAAAGCTTTTTCCAATAAGCACACTCGCCACCTGCTAATCTCAAGTGTAAAGTATGCAGCATGGGATATGAATGGAAAAACTGAAACTTTGTGTAAGAATCTGTATAACAATTTGTATAAATAAAAGGCTCCTTAAAAAAAAAAAAAGACAAAAAATAAAAGGTTTCTAATGAAACCACAGCACAGTTCACTCTCCAGTCAAAAGGGCACATCCTAAAATACAGAAAACTACTATCTCCTGCTACAAAGCCACACAAGAGCAGCTCTTGAAATCAGAACTCAATGTCTAGGCCTGCTCAGCAGCCTGGTGGAAATTAATTTAAGCTTTCCAGCCCATCCATCTCTCTAAGCCAGAGGAGTGAAGCTATAGGAAAGGCCCGTTCTTACTTATCATCAGAGGACGATTCCTGCTCAACTTTCATGCCTTCAGAAAGACTTCCTTTGAATTTGTCTTCCTTCACTTTGCTTCTGCTCCTTCGCCGGCGGCCTCCCCGTGATCGAGACCTCCTCCTCAAGCGTGACCTGCTCCTCCGGACTCTATCTCTGTTTGAAAGAAATAGACACATGTTAATTAATGAGAGGTAGGGCAGGGCCATGAGGGAGGCCTAGATTTTCTATAAACCCAAAATTGCTTTTAAAAAATATTTAAAGTTTTAAATTAACTAAGTCTAAGAGAGACATGAATAAGCAGGTTAACTAAAATGACTGAAACATAACTCCTGTTCTTCCTTTCTTTCTTTAGTACTAGGAACTGAACTTAGGACTGTGCACTCACCCGGGAGGCGCCTGTGCTGTTGAGCTATCTCTCCAGCCCATAGCTACTATTCTTACCAAGTACAAAACAAAAAAAAATTGATACTATTTCTTACAGTATCAACTTAAAAGTAAGCACTATGCGAGTAAATAACCATGGTTAATTTGCATACCTCTTCTTCCCAATGCCCGAACCAGGGCAGCACCTGCCCCACACCTCAAACCCAGGTTGCAGAGCAGAGAGGTACCTGGTTCAGACTCCTTGGTTAATGCAGAAAACTCAGGTTTCTTTCTGGACTCACCAGTTGAATTTCATGATTATCAACAATCACTTTTTTTTTTGGTGGGGGGATGAGGACTAGAAATTGAACTCAGGACCTCACGCTTGCTTGCCAGGCAGATACCGTGCTTCTGAGCTATACCCCAGCCCTATACTTCATTTATTATTTTTTTTCATTCCATCACTGATTATGAAAATGTATGAAGTCAAGAGTTTTAAAAATAGGAGTTCTATGAACAGGTAAGACAGAAAACATACAGGTGCATGCCAAGGTCTGCAGTGAGGAGAGAGACCAGCAGCGATGTACTAGGGACCCATGGATGCTCCCTGCCCAACTGTGCACTCACAGGACATGTGCCTGTGAGCCCGAAACGTCACACCCTAGAGGGCTGAGCTCTACCTCTAGGCAGTTAGGTGTTTCAGTAGGCCCAAGTGAAAGACATGACTGCTATGATGTGGTTAAAACAGATGAGACAAAATCTTAAGTCTAAAGGGCTTCAGGCATTCTAAGCAATGCCCCAAGGCGTCACCCACATGAACCAGAAGGTGAAGCTGATGTGACACAACAGGTGGATGCACACAAAGGGGCTGCGGGTCTCTGGTACCAAAGGGTCATCGGTCATGGCTGACCACCAGGCTTAGTGGATTTCTGACATCTCATTTAAATAACACGACAGCAAAGGAACAATGAAATCCACAGGCAAAGAAAACATGTGATGAGAGGACACCAACAAAAATTTTAAATGGAGATCCAGTCCAAGCCCAGGCCCGGCAAGTGTGTGGGAGAGCTTCCACGCTCCCCTTTGCCTGCTGGATCCTTCTGGACCCAGCCCAGGCTCACTTATGAGTAAGTCCTTCTGTCCTGCTCTCTGGACCCATGCAGACCCAGCTGAGGCCTGGCATACAGGCCTGGGGTGAAACTCTGCAGCTGAAGTCCCTGCAGAGAGACTAGGGGCCAGAACCACCCAGCTAATCCAGGAGCAGAACATTTTGCCAGAGGGACACAAAAGGTTTCCTTCCAAAGGCAGCAGCAGGAAGAAGCTGAGCACAGCAGCCAGACCCAAACCAGGCACACTAGGATGAATTCAAACTTCGTGGGTTGGCACCCGAATTTCAGTAGATGCTAAGGTTATAACTGCACCAGAGCTCTACAACAAAGGTCAGAGGACAGTGCTATACAAAATGACAAAGAGAGGAGCAAAATGCAACCTCAGGCCCCGAGTCCACCCAGAACATGTCAGAAGACACTAACACAGAAGAAATTGGGAAACACACAGCTGAAATGTCTGAATTAATAGTGTCTGAAGTAAAGAAGCAACTGCAGAAAGGTGTAGAGGAACTCAGATCAAAAATAACCTCTGAAATGAAATAAAGAAATCTCTGAATTAATAGCATCTAAAGTAAAGAATCAAATGCAGAAACACAGAGCTAATCAGATCAGAAATAATCTCTAAGTAAAAGAATTAATAACTGCTTCTCAAGAAGACAATGATAAAAAAAAGAGATTAGAAAAATGATGGAATCCTTGAATGAGCAATAGAGGAAAGAAACAGATCGCATGAAGCAGAGTCAAAGAGATAAAAAGAACTTAAAATCTCAATCACAAGCTTGCAAAACTGAGTGAAAGTCAAGATAGTTTCAGATCTTAAAGACGTGGTCGCAGCTAGTGAAAAGGTAAGAAAAGATCTCTTAAAAACTAGGATGCACGAAAAAATAATTCATCACCTGCAAGACGATGCAAACATGAACAACGTGAGACTAATAGGTATCAATGAGAAAGGAGTCAATACAAATGATATAAAAAGAATATGGGCAGAATAACAGAAGACTTCCCAAATATGAGGAAACAATCTGACATTCAGATAACCGAAGCATACAGAACGTCAAATAACTTCAACCCAATTAAAAACACACCGAGACATGTAATAATCAAGATCCCAGAAATCTAGCACAAGAACAATATACTGAAAGCCACTGGAGAAAAGAAACATCACATTTAAAGGAACACCCATCAGAATAATGGCAGACTTCTCCTCACAAACCATGAAGTCAAGAAAAGCATGGAGCAGAACACTTCAAGTCCTCTATGAAAACAAATTCCAGGTCAAAAATCTTTAAACGTGTACAGTGAATGGAAGAGCAGTAATAGATCAAAACTGAGCTAAGTATTAACACGAAAGGAACAAAGGTCTAAGTTAGTGCCTGTCCTGAGGCCCCAGAAAGCCTAGAAAGTAGAGAAACTATATCCCCTAAAGCAGGATGGTAAATCTTCTGTTCCAAGGATACACACAGTCCCTGCAGCCCGTGCTACAGGTTTGCCACTACTGACCCTAAGGATGGAGCATGAGGTCAAAACTGGAAATAAGGAACTGAAAGCCACTGACTTGTCCCCTAACTAGCCTGAAGTGAGAGCCCTGGGGGGGACACAGCCTAAGACATAGCCTATGTGGCCCGAAGGGAAAAACACTGCCACTTCCCTTTCTCAGTGCCTCTGACCTCAGAGCAGGGAACAATGAAGGATCCATGGGTCTGAGGTCAAAGTCTTCAAAGGAAAAGGTCACCAAGTGGTGAAAAGACCCTAGAAAGAAACAAAGTAGAGAAGAAAACTATAAAAAACAAAAGCTTAGCAAGATAAAACTCAGTATTCACTGAAATACAAAAACGAGAGAATTTTTTAAAAATACCAATAGCCAAGATTACCAGATATAGGCATGTAAGACTGATCAAACAATATAAACATTGTTCCTCTCAATGAACTAATAGAAATTTGTACACTACAATATAATAACCATTGTTAATTTCCTATCATCTTGATTTGAAATTCTGTATCATTTTTACTATTTTTTTAACTTCATAAAAAATACAAAAAACAGTATCAAAAAAACAATAAAAAGGTAAGGTAAAACAAGAAAATCTAAAAGTAAAACAAAATAACAAACAGAAATATGAATGAGGAAAAAAATAAGCAGAACAAGGCTAAAGGTTCAATTTGAAAAGATAGGAAGAATACGAAAGCAGCAAGAGACCCAACTTCCCAGAACAGAAAACCTCGCCACTCCTGTAAACAGCTTTTCCAAACCCGAAACCAGCAAAATAATCATGGGAGGACTGGGGGGACGCCGAGGCACATTAATGAAGGTTCCAAGTAAAGGACACTTACTATTATCAAACAAGAGGAAGAAAGGAAAAAGAGCAAGTCTTTTAAATACGTCCACAAATCAGAACAGGAAAACTCAATACTGAAAATTAAAAATCAACGGATCAACTTAAAATTTTTCAAAAAAGGGTGATTTTACCTAGAATGCTATATCTTACCATATCAGCAAAGAATAGAAGATATTTTTAACAAGTAGAAGATTCCAAAAAATATCCTTTCCATGTGATTTTCTTAGGAAGCTACTGAAGATGAGTTACCAAAACAAAGCAGTACAGCATCAAAGAACACTGGGCACAGAAAATGGGATCACGGAGTGACAACAACAGGCCAGCAGGTGAAGCAATAGGAGGCTAAGTGGACCAGCAGCTCCAGGCCAGGGCTGGCAGGAGAGGACTCCTCGCCCATGATGTGAACTACACACACACGGTCATAGCCCAGCTCATTCCGGAGGCACACACCAACAGAATAAACAGGCAGCAGAGAAATGGTGGGAGGGGGATCACCTTTAAGACTGACCAAAGAACTACACGGGCTCCAGATAAACAGGTTTATGCTGGATTCTCCCAGAAGACTCGATTATGAAACAAGAAGAAACTAGGGCATATATTTGCTACCTATGACCTCATTAGTATAGACCAAAAAAAAAAAAAAAAAAATTATCGTTCATTTCTATAAAGAAGAAAGCTCTACTTTTAAAAGTCTGAGTTTTTAATGAAGAAATACTGTGCAAATTTGAAGGGGTTACACTGAAGAACACATGAAAACATCACATCCTGCCAAGAGGAAATGGGGTCATAGCTAAATAGGGGCCTCAAGAACACCCAGAGGTCAATGAATCCTCAGGGGACACACAGAACTGGCGTCTACCTTCTCCGGGGAGACCTGCTTCTCCGTCGGGGAGACCTGCTGCGCCTGAGTGGGGAGCGAGACCGCCTTCTGATGGGAGAGCGACTTCTTCTCCGCGTTGGAGACCACCGGTTGAGGGGGCTGGCATCCTTGGACCGTTCCCGCCTGCTGAGGAGGTCATCTCGAGGGCGTGTTCTAGCAGAGCCAATGCAAGTCAAAAAAAAAAAAAAAAAAAAAAAAAAAAAAAAAAATCACAGGCAATCATCATTTTTCTACAGGTAAAGAAAATTCCAAGAAAAGATGCACTAACAATGACAATAAAGGCTGATTAAGGTATTTCACATCAAGTTTTAAACTCAGGTGACCAGGCGTACAGTCTATTTCCTATAGCTTCACAGTGTGAAGAATTATTAAACGGTCTTGTTAAAGCTACTAATTCAGATTAACAACTCCAGCCAAAGTGATCAAATGAGTAATCGCCTATGTCCTCACTCTTTCTGCAGCTTGACATTTCTGCAGTGAAGAATTTTATTTTTAATGTAAATTAAGTATAACAGGAAGTATCTTATAAAAATCATTAATCTCCAAATGGGGAGGAAAACAGCTCAGCCTCCTATTCAAAATCAACTTTTCCAGCATCACAAAAGCCTTAACATAATGTCTGTATTACCATAAGCACAGGCCTTTCTACGACTTAATTTGTAAAATAAGTTTCAACATTTCTTAAGTTAGGACACCTTGAACAACAGTGAATAGTACTAAGTAAGCAGTACACAGTTCTACCTGAAGTTAAATAACAATGTAAAAATTATATTTTCCCTATTGATAAAAATACAACCTGCCTTGCATGTTTGGAAATGGTGCACAGAACCTAGAAGAATCTTCCTTGGATCCAACTAAAACAAGCAAGGTAGACTTTGAGCCAGATCTGCAGCACTCACATATAATCTGCTTGTACAGATACTCTTCAAAGACTGGCTCAAATGTGTAAACATAGTAAAATAGTAGTGCAGAGGGAGGAATGTGGTGTTATTTGCTTAAATGCAATGAAAATAATACTTAATTTCAATAGTGATCTATAGTACTTAAGAGTGTCCAAATGGCATCTCATGCCATCATGCCTAGTAGATGTTCCACAGAAACCCTAGCCCCCAAGCTAACAGAAGCACAAGGTGGTCCAACTTTCCTGGAGAGAAACTTGGCCCTGATTTTCTCAACTGTGATTACAAATACCATGGCAGTTGGTAAGACTACTTCTACCTCCAGTCTACAGAGGAACTATACACATAAGTAATGGACATCTCTGCATGCAACACTGAAAACCTAGAACCAATGTAATTTTCACCGGTTTCAAAAAAAGAATAATTATGGCACAACTGTAAAATACCCTTTGCTGTTAAACTTGGATAGAGCAGAAAATTTATCTCTGCACTATTTGTTTGTAATTTGTATGTACCTCTTCTGTAATTAGAAAAAACAAACTTTGTTTCAAATATTTAAGTCTAATATTAGGCTCACAATGTTTTCAAACTGACACACAATTGCTCAATACACAGGTGTTATTACGTCAATTTCTACAATGGCTTAGCATGGTCTGACTCTAAACCATTATGCTTCTCTCCTCCCCCCTAATGTACTCCTATGATCCCAGGTAAATCATGTCACTCCCTTGAATGGCAGGAGTAAGTGTGGCTCTCACCACCTCCGGAGACTGCACTGTGACTCTCATGGGTTAACAAGAGCCGTGCACACCACGGTGGTGGGGGACACCCGAGGGACAGCACTGCATGTGTGGTCCTGTCATCAAAGTGCTTAACACTTGCACCTAAAGGAGTGACCCAGTGGATGAAACCAAGAACTTGAAAGGAAAAGGAAAAATAATTCTGTCATCAAGCTCAGTATGTGTAAAACACTCATAAGCATAAATGTTTATGTAACTAATGGACTGGATATCTAAGATGATCAAACTCATGACCTCATTTTTAATTGTTCTCAAGTTCTATTTTTTCTGTTAAAATGTGGTGCACTGGTAAAATGTATTCCTATTTTGAAAACAAGTTACCTTGGAGACGAAAGTCGTCTCCTCTCTGGTTCTCTACGTTTTCTTTCTAAAGATCGGCTCTTGGCTCTTCTACCCGGAGACAGAGTTCGGGAAGGTGATTTGCTCTGCTTAGATCTTCTATCATTCAAGAGTGGAGATCTACTTCTCCTGGACTTCTCACGCAGTTTTGGAGACAGACTTCTTCTCTTAGGACTGCGACCAGGTCTCCTACTGGGTGACCTGTTTTCTTTCCCAGAGGAAGCATCCTTAGAGGGAGACTTAATGGGCTTCTTCTCTTTATCAACCTCAGACCTTTTTGATTTTCTCTCTTTGGACCGTGACCTTCTGTCTTTGGATTTACCTCGTAGGTCAACTGGGGATCTGGACTTTTTACCTCTATCTCTACTTCTACTTTCGTTTATAATTGGAGATTTTTTCCTATCTTTTATCCTACTCTTCTCTTCAATTTTAACCTTCTCATCAGTGGGAGACCTGGCTTTGCCAATTTTCTCCTGAGACCGCCTCCTAAACGTAGGGGACTTTGACTTTCTTGCTTGGTCTTGAGACTTGCTTCTCTTAGAGGGACTCTGGGACTTCCTTCTCTCCTTGGACTTGCTCCTCGTGGTTTTCTCTTTAGCTATCTCAATGCCTCCCTTACTTTTCTTTTTATCTGACCTATGTCTAGTCCGTTCTTTGGATCTGCTTTTACTTCGCTTTTTTGTACTATTTTTATTGTCCATCACTTCAAGTTTCCCCTTTGCACTTGAAGATCTGGTACTAGATCTATTCCCGTTTCTCGCCTTTTCATGAATCTCCCCTTCTTCCTCAGAGCCAGACTCATAGCCCTGTAAAATGAGTCCCATCCCAGACTGGACCTTTCCTTCCATCAGCTCGTTATCAAGTTCGGCTTTAATCAAGGCCCTCTGCTTCTCCAAGTCTTCCAGCAAAGCTAAATCATCAAGTTTAGTTCTTTTTGCTGGAGACATGCCTTCTTTGTCAGAGGCATCAAGAATTTCTTTTCTTTTGTGTTTTTTATGTTTATGCTTATGCTTATGTTTTTTATCCTTGTCTTCTTCTGAGGAATGTTTATGCTTCTTGTGTTTACTTCTGTGTTTATGTTTCTTTTTTTTGTGACGACTGTGTTTATTTTGAGATTGGTCTTCTGATACTTCTCCATTCTCTTCATTTATACTCTTCTCAGAATTATCAGCATCTTCCATCCTATAAATGTACAAAACACTTTAAAATCACAATATCCAGTTCAAGTTACAATGAAATTGACAATAACAAAGTACATTTCCACGTAATACCTTAAACCAGTCACTAAAAAATTTTAGGAACACTTTGAGATATTTTATTTCAAAAAAAGTGTGCCAAGAACTGAACTGGGTGGTAACATAACTTAATTTGTATCTAATGGCTGAACTTGTGAACCATTAGAGGAAAAACTATGAGGTAAGGTTTAAAACATTATTTAAGCAGGGCCTGCCAGATAGCTCAGCCAACTGAAGTGCCTATTTAGGCAGATGCAGGGAATGGGGTTTGATCCCCGGAGTGCCAGGGACCAGGGCTTGATTCCCAAGTGACATGCCAGCCCCGCCCCCAGGGGTGCGCTGAGATGGCAACAGAGACTGGGTTTGGTTCTGCCACTTGTAATCCTAGTGCTTGGGAGGCTGAAAATAGGAAGATCACCGAGTTCGATCTGTGTAGTGAGACCCTGTACTAACTGAAAAAAAAAAAAAAAAATTAAGCAAAAAAAGGGACTAAGGGACTGTAAACCAGGCATAGTAAAATCTTAATGCTGATTTAGATAAATCACTCAGCAATTTGAAATCTACATGTATATTTAAGACAATTTTCTCCTGAGACTGCCTCCTAAGCATAGGGGACATTTTTTTTTCATAAAACATTAACACTAACATAAATTGGGAAACTACTCTTCTTTTCCACTTGAATTCAGAAAACTTGAACCACAAATGTACAAGTCAGTTGTTTCAAGCATACATATCTGATCTAATACCACCCCTCACCATAGTCTGTAGAGCGAATACTGAGCTTTGTCCAAACTTCTGTGCACTCGGATTGGGGGCTGACTATTAAGAATCCCCAAGGGTTAAGACTTTAAGATAAATCAGGAGAAAGGACAGTGCTATGGCAACAACAGTCTAATATCAGCAACTGCATATGATCAACACAATAACTGTTCACCAAATTTTATCCCTCTGAATTAGAAATGGAAAACTCAATTCAAAAAATATCGTCGAACAGTGCTATGCAAAAACAAAACCAGTCTAAGGGAGATTCTATGCTTAACTCTTTGGATTATGTTGAGTTAAAGAGTTTATGGCTCTAAATTTAGCAAGCCTGAAGTGTATAATCATTTCAGGTTAAATACAGGTTCAATATCACTACAGATACTTCTTGATTTATAAGGGGTTATGTTCCAGTAAGTCTACTATAAACAAAAAATATTTTAAGTATAAAATACATTTAATATAGCAAACCTAGCAAATACCAGTTTGGCAATATAGTGTACTTGGTCTTTTTCTTTAGTCACCCCATAGTGTTGCACCTAAAATGAGAGCACAACCAAATTTTACTCTCTCTCTTCCCTTCCTTTCATACCAGAAATCGAACTCAGGAACTTGAGCTTGCCAGGCAGGTACTATGTATTGAGCTACGGCCCCAAATTTTGAAGTGAACTCTGGTCATCATACTATTTTTGGAGGAAGATATGGATCATTTTGTCAGGGCTTTAAACAATGTACCTATATGCTTCTAATAAGTTTACTGTACCACCTACACACATAGCTCCCTGGGAGGTCTATGAACCTATACACCAACCTCCAAATACGCCTTTTAAAATCACTCATCACTATAAGCATGAAGCCAGGTGGCAGGTAAACAGTGTACATGACCAGCATCTGCCTCCTTCAAGGAAATAATGATCCAGTAGAAAAGAAAGCCACAAAACACAAGCGCAAAACGCTGGAAAGGAGGGTGACAAGGATAGGGACAAAGACACTTAGGGTCACTGCAGCTCATCTCGAATGGCTAGAAAGGCATTTTGTAGAGCACAGAGAAAGGCCAATCTACCTGTTAAGCTGGGGATGCAGGGGGTGAGGGGGTTATTAAGAAATGCAGATTGAAAAAAAAGCTGAGTAACTCTGTCCTAAACAATGAGCTAAAAATTCTAAAAAGGCAAAAGGAGCATTTTTGATCTAGAAAGCAGGTGACAGAGATTAGGGTTATGTGCAGCAAATAAAGCCAGGGCATCAAACTTGTGGGAAAAACTGTTCTAACAGAGACTGAGATCCTCATGGATCAATTCTAGAAGAAGACAAGGTACATGATTTTGGGAGTGAATGGGTCACTGGAGTCACAGAGGCCCACAACCTGAGAGGTTTGATTGTTGGCTTGGCTCCTTACGATGACACCACCATTTCTGTGGATTATGGCAGGGGCTAACATAGTGTTTAGTTCTCCAGCTAGGTCTCTCTTCAATAAACATGGTACGAGCATGTGGGTGGGAACATTGGAGAATGGAGTCTGTATGAGAAGTTATTAGCCAACAACAGGGGTGAAGGAGGGGAGGAGTGGACAACACACAGCACATGGCATCAAACAAAACTGATTTTTGTTAATATTCCATTTCTAGCACCATGGAGTATGAAAAAGGGCAGAATATCGGAGAGCAGCAGAGGAACCTGTCCTCTGGTGAGAACTGTGGTTTGGACCAGCAGGCCCACTTCTCTTCAGTGGAGTACAAAGAGCAGTAACTTTGTAAAACAACCCAACCACCAACTGTACTGCTGTACTGTGGAGGGAAACAGAATCAGACTTAAGGAGAAGATCCAGACGCTGCAACTTTGCTCCCAATACTGACTATAAGGGAACGACATCCCTTTCCTGGAAATACCTCACCCTCTAATTCAGGGGTCTTTTTTTCTGACCCCTGACTTACTGGGAGGAGGAGGTAGGTGACTTAAAGTTACAGAGAACTTTTTAAGAACTGGAAATGATTTTTAGGCATATAAAATCTAAGGCCCATAGCACAAAATTCTACTCATTAAGGTAGAAGTCAAACTACCTCCTACACACTCTCTAAACTATGTCAAAATTAAGGATAGTCACATGGTTCAACATCCTCTAAGCTGCCTGGGCTAAAACCTGGGTCTAACTTTACTTCACAGACCTATGGAGAGAGCAAGCACACCTGCCTGAGGGGTGCAAGTGGGGGCGGTGGCCAGACGCACACAGCCCAGCTTACACAGTGCTCAGCAAGAACTGAATGCCCCAGAGGCGAGCTGCTCCAGACCACACAGATCCTCCTCAGGAACTCTCTCCTCACAGACCACTGTGCAGCTGACAGGGAGTTACCAAGAACAGCATTTTGAGGAATGCTGCCAAAAAGCACAGATTCTGGAGTTGAACACCTGGCTTAAGATGCTGCGCCACCGTGACAGCTCCTGGAACCCTAGGCAAGCTCCCAAAGCTTGCAGACTCAGGATCTGTATCAGGAAGCCCAGCATCTCTGCTAAGAGTCACCCTCATGAGGGACCTCAGCTTCTTCAGCTTGATGAGCATTGCTAGGAATGACCAGGTTTCTGGCAAGACTGCTCTATGCTGGCCACAACAATCCTAAGTTTTTCCCATACAGAGCTACGCAATAGCAAATATTCAGTCTCCTCATTGGAGCTCTCGAAGAAAATAGGCTGCAGTCTGTGGCTGGGAAAATAACTCAGTGGGAGAGCGCTTGCCTACCATTGGCAGAGTCTCTGACTCTAGCACCAGCATCAAAGCAGAAAAGAGAGCGAGATTGGTTTGTGTTGGTCTGAGGGTGCAGCTCAGTGGTCAACCACTTGCTAGAAAAAGCCAGGTCTCGTACATAGGAAAACAGAATCACATCCGAGCCTGTGCAAAGGCAGAAGAATCAGGTTCGCCAGCAACAGATTTCTCCTAAAACTTCAGAAAAAGCATCCTTGTTAAAAATTCTATTGGCCAATGTCCCAAGTATATAAACTCCATATATAAACCTTTATACTTCATATTTACACTTTACAGCCTATCATCGCACAGCAGGTGGATGTGCATACATACCTACTCATTTACAGCAGGTTTATCATAAAACAAGTATTTATTAAGAACCTACTAAATACTGGGTGACAATTTTTGAATGGTATGATTTGAAAACAAAGTTGAATTAGAAGGGCAGACAATATTGAGACAATTAACAGTAACTATTCACTTGTTTCAAATGTTAGTCTTTAAAGGACTCATCTTGAGGGACCTGACACAGTGGAAAGTTATGGAAAAACTTAAAAAAAAAAAAAAAGAAAAGAAAAGAAAAACAAACAAAAACCTCCAGAAGCCTGGGGACATATAGTTCAGTGGCACAGCACCTGCCTGGCAGGTACAAGGTTGTCAGTTCGATTACCAGTACCAAAACAAAAAAGACTGCATCCAGTCACGCTATCAACCACTGGAAAGGTTTTAGTTATGTCTTCCACAAGTTTTTGCTAAATAAGTTAATAAATAACTTGGGAAGCACTCAATTTATGCTTTGGAGACACACAGCTCATTAAATTTGTTCACAAAGGGGAGTTTTCAAGCTAAACAATTCTTAAAAGTGTTTTTAATGGCGAGCTAAGTGAATGCCATTGCTTCTTTACAAAGGAAGTGATGAAGCATGTTTCTCTAACAAATCACAATACTTTCCATAAACTTAATGTAGATACAAGTTAGAATGGGCCCCAAAGACTAGCTAGTCCAATTTTCCTTCTGCCTCACTTCTTGCAAACCAATGAATTAAATGTCACATTAAAAAATAGATTTTAAGTGATGAAAGTATGGCAAGGCCCCCTGTTCCATCCTTAGCACCGCCACCCCGTTGTTTACAGAACACTGGCAGTAAGTAAGAATGTTTTGAAATTTTAAACACAAATTTAAAAGAAGCTTCAATTACACAGGGTCAGACAATACCATAGCTAGGAGTGCTTTAGAAACAGACTGCCAGCGTTCAGTTGAGTCCTTTACTGAGAGAGACCTCGGGCAAATCACTATTTCTCTGTGCATCAGTCTTATCATCTGTAAAATACACACAATATTACAGTATCTATCGCCATAGAGTTGTTATACACACTGTTATTTGTTCAGTGCTTTGGGGAACATCTTTTGAGTAAATGCAAGTTCAAAAAAACAACTAAAGAAACCGACATGTAAAAGCCACTAGGCTTTGGGAAGCTAAAAAAAAAAAAAAAAAACTAGTTTCAAAGATATGTATTCCTTCTAAAATTTCTCCCATAAATGAATAGCAAAACTTTGAAAGACTATTTCAGTTTCACAGTGCAGAGCTGAAGCAAATATGTATTTATAATCAAATCTGGTATTATTGGGATACATAAATGAAATATGACCAACCTGCTCTTGTTCAAAAGGAGTCTGAACTGTCCCTAAAATCAAATGGACAAAACTGAACGAAATTTTCAGATTACCAGAAAACTCAGCTGTATGACATCAGCTCTGTACTGCAGGGCACAAATACTGTAACTCTAGCAGAGTTGGACTCCGTGAGAATCCAGATGCTCAGGCTAGCTAAAGCCTTAGTCTCCATGCGTTCCCTTCTAATTGTGAACCCCTTTAATTAAAAGGGGCACAATTTCTAGCTAAGAGCCCAGAAGCGGATGCAAAGCAGTGAACTGTCAAGTTGTCTGGGGGCAAAGATTTTTCCTATCTGTCATAAGGTTGCCGTGAAACTATTACCGAATGCACTTCTCTTTGCTACATAACTAGTTTCAAGATTCACTCTTTTATTTGAAGTTGCCTAACATAAAAATACACAAAACAGAGCTTTTCGTTAAGCAGCCGTCGGCTTTTGATATCCAGTATGAGTTCGGCTGGCCGCATGGGTTCCTTGTACCAGCTTAATTACAGATATAAAGTAATTTAGGGTGGGAAGCAACGACCAGTTCTTACCCTTATTCCATTCGTTTTCCTAAAAAACAGCTACAAACTCAGGCAGGGGAGGGGAAAAAAGATAAATAAAGCCAGGCCTAAAAACCAAGGCCTCTTTCTCACTTTGCTTCAAGTTTGCTGGTTGCCGAAAAGGACGCCGACAGGCGGGGGGCAGCGCCGGGGCGCAGCGCGGGCGCGGGGTG